TCGCTGACTTGTTGCAGAACAGAGTTGATTTATCGCAACTAGTCATTACCAAAGCGTTTTCAAAGCACGAATACGACAGTAAGCAAGCTCACGTTGAGCTCGCTAAACGAATGAGGAAGAGAGATGCTGGTTCAGCTCCAACCCTAGGTGACAGAGTTGCTTATGTCATCATCAATGCATCAAGTTCCAAGAACTACGAAAAGTCCGAGGATCCCCTTTACGTTTTGGAGAACTCTCTTGCCATCGACGTCAAATACTACTTGGAGAATCAACTTTCAAACCCCTTGTTGAGAATTTTCGAGCCTATTCTCGGTGAGAAGAAGGCAAAGGAATTACTTGCCGGTGCACATACGAGAACCATTAAGATGAGTGCACCGAAGGGTGGTGGATTGATGAAGTTTGCAAAGAAGGCGGAACTATGCAAGAACTGTAAGTCACCTTTGAAAGCGAACAACAAGGGTGCCTTGTGTGAGAATTGCATTTCCAAAGCTCCAGAATTATACTGCGACGCGTTGGCTCAGATGAATTATTTGGAGAACAAGTTTTCCAGACTCTGGACAGAGTGTCAAAGATGCCAGGGATCACTTCATCAGGAGGTTCTTTGCTCCAATAAGGACTGTCCGATCTTCTACATGAGAAAGAAGGCAGAGAAGGATGCTTCACAACAAGTGCAAGAGCTTCAAAAATGGGACGAAACGGTATGGTAGTGTCATCAATATATTTATACTTGTAATTATTTGAACGTAACATTCAAAATGGGTCATGTGTGTATATTTTCAAACGTTTCAATTGTCTCTCTTCTTCTTTGGCACGGAGCTTTCGGTCATACTCCTGTGGTCCGCATCCAAAGCACCAGGACGCAACACCTCTATGTTTCCATCAGATTTTCTTGAAACTGCCCTTAAATGAGAATTTTCAGGAGAGCCATTGCCGTTAGTGGACGAGCCCTTGGTGGGCGACAGCGAGAGTGTTATGAGTTTAGGTTCATGCTCAGAGTTCTTGATTGATCCCTTCTTCAAGTTTTTGGCGAAGTTGGAGGTCCTGTTATTGTTGTTTTGCTTCGACAATTCCTTGAGCTGCTTGATGTTGTGTATGCACTTGCCTATGGTTTGCATCAACAACTTTGGCTTCAAAGGTTTCGAGACATAGTCATCCATACCCTTCGCAAGAGATTTTTCCCTGTCACCCAACATAGCGTGAGCGGTCAATGCAATAATTGGGGTACGGAAGCTCAAAGAGTCGATAGGGTTTGACTTCTTCTCCCACTGTCTGATCTTCTCAGTGGCTTCGAAACCTCCCATGACGGGCATTTGCACATCCATCAAAACAACATCGTATTTATTGTTCTGAACCGCCTCAAATGCCTCGAGACCATTCTCAACCACCTCAACCTGGTGACCTTGCTTCTCAAGAATCTTGACGGCAAGCTTCTGATTCACCAAGTTATCCTCAGCGAGCAAGATCTTGTATGAAATTGAATCATCAGCATTTTGGGCGATAGATCTTGATTCCAAAGCGGGAATAATGGCACTGGCAAGATCTGAGATGGTGCATGGGGTGTTTCCGTATGACGAGATACCCAAGTCGATACACACTCTCATGTTCAACTCTGGAATGGAGTGATGCAACAAAACCAAGGGAATGTATTTGACCTCAGATCGTAGTCTTAAGCTCTTGGCAATCTCTATGGAGTCAATCATGATAATGTCATATTGGATTGGTTCCTCAAAGTTGACGTCAGTAATGTCACGTACAATCACAGGGTTCAATCCCAACTCTTGAATGCCGTTCTTCAACTCTTGAAGTTCATTTTCGGTGTGCTCGCTAGAGACGAACAAAACATAGTGACCTCTGAATGGCAACAACTGTTCCGATTCCATGCTGTACCTGATCTTAGATGGGGAAACGCTGACAGTGAAGGAGAAATTAGATCCATGACCATAGTCAGAGGTGACCCGTATTTCACCACCCATCAATTGAATCAACTGCTTCGAAATAGACAATCCCAAACCAGTACCACCAAACTTTCTGGTTGTGGAACCATCGGCTTGACAGAAAGTATCGAAAATCAATCCCAACTTGTCCTTCTCAATACCGATACCGGTGTCACTGACACAGAATTCTAAGAGGAGCTTGTTGGCCTCCTCTGGAATCCTCTCGGCTTTCTTTACACTCACACTCACCTTACCCTTCTTTGTGAACTTGATGGCGTTACCAGCAAGATTAAGGATAACCTGTCGAAGTCTGAAAGAGTCACCAATCAAATTATCTGGGAAGGAAGAGTCACATCTGTAGGTAAGGTCCAAGTTCTTTTCAATTGCTTTCACGGCAAGAGTCTTCAAAGCACCAAAGACGTTGCCTCGTAAGGAGAAATCAATTTGTTCAACAGTCATTCTGTTAGCTTCAATCTTCGAAATATCCAAGATATCGTCGATGATAGTGAGTAAGGAGTTCGCCAAATTATGAACAATACTCAACATTTCACGCTGGTATTGAGTGAGCTCAGTATCCAAGGACAACTGGGTCATACCAATTATACCGTTCAAGGGGGTTCTAATTTCGTGGGACATGTTGGCAAGGAATTCCGACTTGGCACTGTTGGCCAATTCGGCAGCTTCTCTGGCAGCAGTATTTCTCTGAATGGATTCTCTCAAATTGAACACCATCTGGTTAATCTTGGTCTTCAAAGCATCCATCTCACCGGAAGCCTCAACAGTAATAAACCTGGTGAAATCACCATCAGTAGCAGCAGCAGTAATCTGGGCAAAAGCTCTCACTTGCGATGTCAAGTTAGAAGCCATAGTGTTCACATTAGACGTAATTTCCTTCCACAAACCATCGACGTCGCTGACTTGCGCCTGGATACCTAATTTACCGTTGATACCGACATCACGGGCAACCTTCGACACTTCAGAAGCGAAAAGCTGCAAAGAGTCCACCATCTTGTTGATGGTGTTCTTCAACTGTAAAATCTCACCTTGGGCGTGGACATCAATTTTTTGGGACAAGTCACCATGGGCGACAGCAGTAGTAACAGTAGCGATAGATCTGACCTGATTTGTCAAGTTTGTAGCCATTAGGTTGACGTTTTCTGTGACAGCTTTCCAGGCACCTTCAACGTCCTTGACGTTGGCTTGGCCACCTAGAATACCTAACGTTCCGACCTCACGAGACAATGTAGTAACTTCCAAAGCGAAATTCTGCAATCGATCCACCATCTGGTTGATGGTTAATTTCAAATCCAAAATCTCACCTTTACAATCAGCAGTAACCTTCTTAGACAATTCACCCTTAGCGACAGCAGTAGTAACATTAGCGATATTTCTCACCTGAGTAGTCAAGTTCAAAGCCATGGCGTTGACATTATCGGTCAACTCTTTCCAAATACCCTCGACGTTCTCGATAAAAGCCTGACCACCTAGAATACCCAAGACACCCACGTCACGGGCGACCTTGGACACTTCGAAAGCGAACTTTCGAAGCTGATCCACCATTGTATTGATTGTCATTTGTAATTGCAAGATTTCACCTTGGGCATGCACGTTAATCTTTCGACTCAAGTCACCTTGGGCCACAGCACGAGTGACATCGGCGATTTCACGCACCTGGTTTGTCAAGTTTAAAGCCATGATATTCACGTTATCGGTCAAAGAACGCCAGATACCCACCAGGCCTTCGTTTTTGGCCTGGCCTCCTAGCTCACCGTTGGCGACTTCTGTTGCGACCTTGGTGACCTCATTTGCAAAAGCTTGAAGCTGGTCCATCATGGTGTTGATTGTGATTTTGACTTTGAGAATCTCTGGATCCAGCTCCACCGGGTGGATCTCGACTTTCTTGGATAAATCACCCATGGCGACGGAGATGACCACGGTACCTATTTCGGAAAGGGCCACTTTGAAGGCCTTGTTGGCTTCACATGCTGTCTGATGCTCCACGGACAAGTTGTGGATCTGAAGCTCCTGGGATTTGACCAACTCAAGCAAGTCCTGCTGTATCAACGGCGCCTTTTCGGCAAACTGGGCCGGGTCTTCCAAGATCGACAACAACTGGGTTGCGTTCATGGGGTTCTCGAGCCTGGGCTTTTTCAGGGGATTAGGCACGGGGGACAGCAAGGTGGCGGCGTGTAGACGTGAAAAAAACTGGTGTTTGTTTGAAAATGAGAAAATCGGGGCTCAGATTTTCTGTGTGGCACGTATCAGGGAATGTTCACTGTTGTGTTTCCCCTGGTGCGGTCAGCCTAAAAAAACGACGTCACCGAGGGAGGTCCCAGCGGCTAAATATAAGCAGGACCTTTTGATGCATCGTTGTAAGGGAGGGTGGTTTTAAACAGGGCTTGGGAGAGGTGAAGATTCGTGACATTTTCTGAATTGTCGGTCTACCAAGAAATCATCAATATGAGAAAGGGGATATTCACGGAGGCGCTACATGGAATACCGAAGGGGCACGGAAACATGGTACAAAGATTCCCAGGGTATGAAAAAAACAGAAAAATGCCAATGTCACCAGAGCGTCTTCATAGCGGAAAACGAAGAAAAAACGTGATTTGTGGAGGTGGTTGGTGACTCCGGTACAGCCTGGAATGCTTCATTTCGCAGGAACAGCATGCGCTATAGCGGACCCTCGTTGCACCCAGTAACATAAAAGCAGTGCACCGGGGAGATTTCCTGGGAGTAAGCGGATTTAGGGAAAGATGTTTGGGGATTCTGTGATTAGATGTTTTGGGTTTGTGGAAAAAAAGGAGAGATTTTGGAGGATACAGTTGCCTGGAGTGCACCAGCTGTGACCGTAATTATTTTTCAAATCTGCAAGTCATACAGCTGTGGGGGAGATTTTCTTCGTTACCTCACAGCCATTCTTCACTTAAAAGATGGCTTAATACACCTTGCATCGTGGTAGACCACTTGCTCACACCTACTTTCGCAGCCACGCCACATGCTCTACACTGGGTGAAATCAATAGTCCCATTTTCCATACGTAATTTTTCCGTAACTCTATCCGTTCTAAACCAATGCAAACGCACTCACACCGGCCACCATTGCTACCAATGGCCAGCTCAAGTGAGCACTGGATGCCTTGGAGTTTCTCATGTTGCCAGAGTTGAGCGCAGTGACCGAAGAGTCAGAGTCGCCGCCCGAGGAGCTTCCGTAAGTGGGCGAAACGCTGGCGCTGGCGGCACTCACAGAGTCGGGAATCGAAGACTCCACAACCTCAATGTCCTCGTTGTTGGAGTAGTTGGCCTGTGCCATACTGATGGTGTAGTCGTCCAAGTCGTAGACAACATAGGCGCTTCTCAAGAAGTTGCCTCCCAAAACAGCATAGTCGGTGCCTGCAACCTGCGACGTCTGCTCCATGATACCCAAGAAACACTGGTTTCTGCCGGCGGTGATGACGAACTCAGACACAGGAACCTTGATCTTGATACCGCTGAAGTTGAAGACAATGTGGGCGCTGTCTGTGTTGAAGTCACAGCTCAACTGGTAGTAACCGTACAAAGAAGAGTACTGTGCCGAGAACAACGACGTGACTCTCTTCAAGAGGTCGCTGGGGAGGTATGTAAGGGTGGTACCCGAGTCCAACAATGCAGGGTAGCTGGTGGAGCTGATGGACTCGTTCTGGCTGGAGCTCTGGAACGAAAGGCCACTCATGGTGACGTCCAAACGGATTGGGTCCTTGTAAACGTGGTCGTAAACGTTGACAATAGGCACGGTCTCCAACTGGCCCAGGTATTTGGCTTTATCAATGGCACCAAACAAGATCGAGCCTGTGTTAGCATTAGGCGAGTTGAGATAAAGCGAGTACACGTTCTTGTTGATGAGACCCTGGCGGACCAATCTCATGGGCAAGTTCTCGTACTGGTATGGAGTTCCCGAGACCCTGAGACCCGTGTAGGTGGACTCCAAGCCAGGAAGACCGATACCCAAGACACCGAAGGCAGAATCGGAGTGGTTCACCAAGGCAAAACTCAAGTCCGTCACGTTGGTGTCGCCAAAGACCATGTTGTCCTGGCCCCACACACCAGTAGCGGACGTGCCATCAGCGTACTGGATGTAGAACTCTGGAGCCGTGTCGTTACGGGACCAGGTGTCGGAGTTGTCGGTCTCGTACGAGCCGTAGTCGGTACAGGTGTTGGTGGTTCTGGAAGCATCTGGACCAGCAGCAGAGAAACCGCCACTGCCACTGCCGCTGCCGCCACCGCTCAGACCAGTAGGAGCAGAGGTGACCCAGATGGTGGATCTGCAGAAGAGACCATTACACTCCTTGTGCTGGAGCGCCTCGGTGGGCAAGTTGATCAGCTTGGAAGGCTCGACAACCTGCTTGTTTTGGTTGTCCAACTCGTCCAATTCGTCGTGAGCCCTGATGGCCTCCTCCAAGGCGTCGAGATCAGCGAAGTTCTTTCTCTTTTTCAACTCGGCGCCGTGTTGCACGCCAGAGGTCAAGCCTCTCTTACTCATCGTTGGAGTAACACCACAAACCACGTCTGGCGGCATCACCCAGAGGTCGGAGGAACCCGTGTCGACCAAAACGCCGACCTTGTCTCCCTGAGTACCGATCTTCAAGTCGGCTCTGTAGAAAGACTGCTCGTTGTGGAGCTCCATCTCCTCTGTGTCTGCTCTCTTGACAAAGGTGGGTTTTCTGTCCTTACCCAAGTCCAGCTTGCTGTTTCCGTGAAGCACCTCGAAATCTAGCTTGAAGTGGCCGGCGGCAAGGGCCGGGATCAAGTTAAACGCTAGAGCTAAAGCCAACTTCATGGTGGTAGATGATGAGCAAAAGCAGCAGGCACAGCAGTATTTAAGCGACTGGGTGCGACTTGCAGACGGCAACTGCGGCACAGCCTGAGCCCAGAGAACGATTTCTTGTCGTTGGTTTTGTGCAGACTTGGGGTCCCAGGACGGTTTCCAAATTTGGGCCGATCGCCGAGCAAGAAGATGGGAGAAGGGAGAAAAAAAAAACCGATTTCTACTTTTTTCTTAAGAAAGAGATCCTCGATTTGATGCTCCATTGCTGCCTGGGTGCAAATTCGCGGGTCTGAGTACCACTGAAGATCGTAGCAAGGCTGCACACGGAGAAAGCAAACAACCCTCGGAATGGATTTTCCCAGAAAAGCCTAAATCTAGAAACCTCCCCTTCCACGGCTGAAAGTTATTGCGGTCTCGCTTATCCATTGTCAGGTCCCTTTTCCACGTTTTTGAGTGTATATTTGTGGTTTCCGCAGGCCGCGCCTCATGCTTGTCATACCTCTGCGCAAACTATAAATTCGACCCTGCCGCCAAGACATGAAAAACCTGTGACCCTGACACGGACCGACCGACCTCCGATGCTGACAAACGTGGGCGATTGGGAAAATTACATAGTTTAAGGTGGTTTTTCATTTTTTCAAGGCTGTCAATGCACCGGGGAAGCGCTGATCCGTCGGCTGACCCTTTTGGCCCAAATCGCTTGTTTTTCTGGTTCCTCGCAAACCTACCGGCTTTTCTGCACAGCCCAGATCTCAGTGTTTCGGAGATTCCAGTTCAAGCAGGCGATGACGGCTTGTGGGGTTAAATTTTCTTGGAGGTCAGGTCGATTAGATAACGATTTTGGGGATGGTGCAGTGGCGAGACTCGGTTCCAGGCTTTTCGGGCCGGCTGTTTCAGAGGGCTGATTTGCAACCGTTGCGTGCTGCGCGATTACCGCTAGGAGGTGCTGCAACTACTTATTTTTGGACTTCCGAGGAGGTGGTGGAGTGGAGGTGGTGGGGTTGTAGGTGGGCGTGGAGTTTGGTGATGGAGTCGTCGAATTTGCAAGAATTGCTGTTTTTGGTCTTTTGGGAGGTGCCCTTTAGTGGTATGTTCATGGGGAAGCCAATTTGATGTAGCCCAGTGTTTCCACGGTCTTCGAGAAATCTTCTCGGAACTACAGTTTTAACTCAAGGGTGTCAGTAGATGCAACGCCGGAGAGAATCGTGCTGTTCATGGCTTGCGAGGTTTCACTAATCGTATTAGTGAATAGGGCATTTATTTCATCAGCGTAATCCAATAGGCACTCATCGAACACTACTCATTTGATTATATTTGTTAAATACCTTAAAGCTTGCCAGGATTACCGTTTTGCCCTCACCAGATTACCCCTAGAGTTCAGATTATATCAAATAGTCATCTGTTAGACGAACCGAAGTCGACCAATGTGACGTTTGGAAGCAATTTGTTGAGGCTAAAAGGCACAAAGGTGCTACTAATATGCAAAAACAATCAATCCCTCCATGAGTTGGTCATTCTAATCTCCAGTTAGCTCGTTTCAGCCCACGATTGTCCTAGCATTGATTTAGCATTGTTTGAGGGCCATTTGGCGCTCAGCAGGGCTTATCCACGGAAAAGAAGTGCCTTTAAAAGGCGATCATCAAACTTTCAAAGGTATTGAACTATCAGGGTGGGCAACAATAGCAATATCGACTTTATTATTGCTCCTAATTATCGTTTTACAGAAACAGCCCTAAATCCCGCATTTCTCGCTCGAATTTGCCCTAAATCTGCATGGCGCTTCTCCCTACATCAAAGTATCTATTTATATAACTCGATTTTTCACAAAATTACGCCTTTCTGAGATACTCAAATTTGCTCAATATATTACACCTAAAATCACCCATTACCCAGTTGAGGGCGTGTGGTCTAGTGGTATGATTCTCGCTTTGGGCGACGGTACAGTTCACTGTACTGAGCAAAACTGTGAGAGGCCCTGGGTTCAATTCCCAGCATGCCCCTTTTTTTACTTGGCAACCCTACAAGTTGCACTTTCCTATTTTTGACCATTTCCTCAATGATGACCGCGAACCAACAATCATTAAGGTTTTTATTTTTTTTTTTTGCCCCCCTCCACTTTCTCGACAACCGTTCGCTTGTGTGTGCGACCTGCATAAAAAGCTCCTCTTTTCCCAGCGCTTCGTTATCCTGATTGAATCTTCAACCTTCTATCCCAGTCTTTAGGCATCTGCATTCACATATTTATCCCCCGGCATGTCGCATTCGAAAGACCAGGAGCAGATTGTGACGAGAATCTTGTCACATAAGCCCCATCAATTCTACGAGATCCTCTCGGTCACGAAGACCTCGTCCGATGGAGAAATCAAGAAATCTTATAGAAAACTAGCTATCAAGCTTCATCCAGATAAGAACCCCCATCCTAGAGCTGCCGAGGCTTTCAAGCATGTCAACAAAGCGTGGGAAGTGCTCAGCGACCCTAGCAAGAGAAGGATATTCGATCAAACAGGCTCTGACCCTGATCTGAGAGGAGCAGCTGGTTTCTCCTCTTCCTCAGCTTACGGCGGGTCTCCATTTGGTGGAGCCTCAGGTTTCTCTGGCTTCTCCCAACAAGGATTTGGAAATGAGTTCCAAGACGATATCTTCAACATGTTCTTTGGTGGAGGTATGCCTCAGGGCAGAGGAGGTCCACAGACTTTCTCGTTTGGCAACAACGGCTTTACATTCAGCACATTTGGCGGTGGCCAGGACTTCTTTGCCAACGCAAGGACACAGCAAAGAAGACAACAAAGAAGAAGACACGAGGAGCAACAGCGCAGACAGCCCACTGGCTGGGACACAATTCTCCAAATTCTCCCCTTGGGTATTATTATTATTGCCATGCTTTTCTCCACATTACTTCAAGACGACACGCCAGACTACTCGTTTAAAAAGACGTCTAGATTCAACGTGGAGAGGGCTACGCCGAAGCACAACATTCCTTTCTACGTGAAGCCAGGATTCACAGATAATCTCAACGACAGGAAGCTCCAAAATTTCGATAACAAGGTTGAGGCTCTGTACGTCAGAGATACACAGAACAACTGTGCCAGAGAGCAGATCAAGAGAAACGACATGATGGAAGATGCGCAAGGATGGTTCTTCACCGACATGCGTAGGCTTGAGCGGGCCCAGAACATGCCCATGCCTAGCTGCCAGCGGTTGAAGGATCTTGGGCTCTTGTGATTGTGGAAGGTGAGGAAGTACAGCCTATTCTGGCGCTCGATCCTTGACAGACGATAGAAGGAACGGGGAAGAAGCGGGAGTCTTACAGGTAATTAATATAAAACATGGACCTAATGAGACTTGATTTGAGCAACTGGCAAGTAGCATTATATCCTAGAGTTATGCGAGAGAAATGAAACCGTGAGAGACCTGTAAAGATAACTAAAGCTGATATAGCGACTGCTTTGGTGCACTGTTGTATCAGATGAGAGGATTAGACAATGCCTGGAGTCGAAGTAGCACGGTCCCCATTGTTTGTCCAGATCTCGCTTATACATGGATGTTAACTCCGGCTCTTCATGTGCCTGTTCTTGATATGGCTACGGTTATTAGAAGAATTCGTGTAAACATGTGATTGTCGAAAGAACAACATTTCCACGCTTTAGCTGCTAAAAATTCGTCAAACCCTATCCCTAAGCCTGAAACCCCTATCGAACGAACTCACGATTCTTGATATCACGAGCCGTAGATATCGTATAACGATGCAACCATACCCACTTCAAGAAGGAGCACCACCATAAAAACGAGCCAATTCCGTCAATTACCACCAATCTTCAAACACGCCATCTACCATCTACGTCATGATGGCGCATGTCAGATTGTGCATCCATCCACCTCCTCAGCTTGGCCTCCTACACTGAAAGGCTCACCACAGCTATTGTTCATCAGCATAGCAACGGTCCACGCCCCATTTTGCCCAGCGTGAACATGTGCGTTTTCAGAATTGCATGGAAGTTTCAAAGAAATCCACTTGGAGTATCAAAAAGTGTGGATTTTTTCCACCTTCTCTGTAACCACAATCACCAGCTCTATGCTCGGCTAAATTCACGTGGGGCTCCGAAATACCCACGGTTTCTTCAGTAAAGCCCAACATTTCTACAAATCGGGTTTATGTTATTCCCGAGAAATTTCCATCCATCTTATACCCATCAGGTGGCCCCCCACAGTCTACGGAGTTTCAGATTTGCAACCGCTTCCGAGTCGTTATGGTCCTCGGTACCCCGCAAAAAAACGGTCCCTGGAAAAAAACCGTATATATGCGCACACCTCCCTTGCTTGTAAAGAACCACACTTTATTTATTGAATAATGAGCACTTTGGACAAAACTTTCGTCGACAACTCCTCCTGGAAACCAGACCTCTTCAAGGGTAAGGTCGTTTTCGTCACCGGTGGTGCCGGCACCATCTGTAGGGTCCAGGTTGAGGCCCTTGTGCTTTTGGGTGCTAACGCTGCTATCATTGGTAGAAACCCAGAGAAGACCGCTAAGGCCGCTAAGGAGATCCAGGACTTGAGACCAGGCGCTAAGGTCATTGGTATCGGTCAGGTGGACGTCAGAGAGGTTGAGCAGTTGGCTAACGCTGCCAAGAAGACCGTGGCCGAGTTGGGCAGAATCGACTTTGTCATTGCTGGTGCCGCTGGTAACTTCCTTTCCGACTTCAACCACTTGTCTGCCAACGCTTTCAAGTCTGTTGTGTCCATTGACTTGTTGGGTTCCTTCAACACCGTCAAGGCCACTTTCAGCGAGCTCAAGAAGAACAAGGGTGCCATTCTCTTTGTTTCCGCCACCTTGCACTACTACGGTGTGCCATTCCAGACCCACGTTGGTGCCGCCAAGGCCGGTATCGACGCCTTGTCCAACGCTTTGGCTGTTGAGCTCGGTCCTTTGGGCATCAGATCCAACTGTATTGCTCCAGGTGCCATTGCTGGTACTGAGGGTTTCGAGAGATTGTCTCCAAGCGGTACCGAGGGCCTGGGCAAGGTTCCTTTGGCCAGATGGGGTACCACCAGAGACATTGCCGAGTCCACTGTCTTTTTGTTCTCTCCAGCTGCTTCTTACGTCACTGGTACCATCCAAGTTGTGGACGGTGGCTACTGGCACCTTGGTAACTTTGCCGGTGAGTTCTACCCTAAGGTGATCAAGAACCAGAACAGCATCGACAACCCTAAGTTGTAAGTTACGGTTATATAGGGATCAATTATGAACAGTAAGAGTGTGATGTAGGCGCCACCATTCTATGGAAGCGATAGCAGCTTTAGATATGGAGAAACGATTCAAAACTTATTGTAGTCGGGAACGATTCAAAACTTGTTAAAGTCAGAAATGATGCAAAACTTGTTGAAGTCGGAAAAGTCGGAAAAGTCTGGTGAATCACGATTCGGGAGTATCTCCCGGTGACCCTCTTTACATGATTTGCAGCCACCTGCGGCTCAAGGAGCACAGAAGACATTGGGAGGGGTATAGAGCCAGAGGCGTTTCGTTTTAAGTGGTTTTAAAGGTTGGTCTAATCATGACGATGCATTCAAAAGGATATTTCATGAATGTATTGGTGAGCGCAGAGTTTCGAGCCCTTTTCAGGCCCCGATCCCCGAACGGATCAGAAATTATCAAAATTGCAATGACGAAGGATCCATGAACAATTCTCGTGAATCAGCCCTAGAATCTTCGAAACAACGTCGGTTTTGCAACCATTCATTGTCCAATTCCTTGTCGAGACGGAATTGCCCTAATCGGTACCTACAGCATTATTCCGTTCACGATCAAAACAATCCAACAAATGTCAATTAGATTCTCTTATTAATACACCTCTCCCCAGCCAGATCCAATCCTACAAACTCCACCACCTCAAGACATCAATGTAAGTGGCCGTTGAAAAGCCATTGTTCTCTCACTCAGGTACCTGATCGGATGCATGAGGCTCAGGATCCGGGATCAGCACAACGAGCCAATGAAATGATCCACCACGAAGCAATCGTGAATAAAAGCAGCAATCGACGAAGAGAAGCCAAAAGACATTTTTCCATAAAAATTTTAAGCTCTTTTCGTTGACCCCTGTCACAATGACGTAGGCGTTCCTTCACCGTGCACATATGCAACGAACGACCCATACAGAAGACGAATCTTCCAAGATAAGCCCGTACCATTAGTAGCTTTTTACAAAAAAAAAGTAAAACTTCCGGAATCTGAAACAAATTCTTATATTATATATTCTATATTCCATATCATTCATTGTAGCACTGCCCGAATGGCGACGGCATCCGGCGAGATACAGCCACTTGACAGGTTGTGCAGAGAAGCCACGTTCAGAAGCCACCAACTACACCATGTTCCCAGGCAGTAACCAAGGTCGAACCTACAACAACAACCAAGGTGGTTACCAGAACCAGCAGGGTAACTACAACAACTATGGACCCCCACAGGGTCCCCCACCCGGCGGATATCCTCCACCAGGCCCTCCTCCTCCAGGCTGGGGTCCTCCACCAGGTCCCCCACCACAACAGTACCAAAACCAGGGTTATCAAAACCAGGGTTACCAGAATCAGGGCTACCAGAACCAGGGTGGTCGTGGAAACCAGGGTCAACAGACCCAGTTGAACTCTCCTCAGTTCATGCAACAACAGCAGCAGTATCAACAACAGCAGCTGCAGAATCACGAGCAATTGGGTAACTTCACCAGGCTGCACGGTGGACAGTCGTTTGAAGGCAACAACGGTGCCATTTCGGGTCCTCCACCATCCAACCCGCAGAGTTTCGGTGGAAACTCCAACATGACCTACCAGTACTCCAACTGTACGGGTAAGCGTAAGGCTGTGTTGATCGGTATCAACTACTACGGCACCAAGAACGAGTTGCGTGGATGCATCAACGATGTGAAGAACATGAGCAAATTCTTGAACGAGTACTTTGGCTACTCCTACGACGACATGGTCATCTTGACCGACGACCAGAAGGAATTGGCCAGAATCCCCACCAGGGAGAACATCATCAGAGCCATGCAGTGGCTTGTCAAGGACGCCAGACCAAACGACTCGTACTTCTTCCATGTTTCGTCTCACGGTGGCTTGGTTCCTGACGAGGACGGAGACGAGGAGGACGGTTTCGACTCGTGCATTTACCCTCTTGACTTTGAGAGAGCCGGCCCTATTTTGGACGACACAATGCACGACTTGATGGTCAAGCCCTTGCCCCAGGGTTGTCGTTTGACTGCCTTGTACGACTGCTGTCACTCTGGTACCGCTTTGGACTTGCCTTTCGTCTACTCCACCAAGGGTGTCGTCAAGGAGCCAAATGTGTGGAAGGACGCCGGTACTGGCGCTTTGAACGCCTTCATGGACTACAACAGAGGCGACATTGGTGGTGCCATTTCCGCCGTCAGTGGCATTTTCAAGAAGGTCACGAACTCCGCCAACGTGGACAGAGATGCCATTATTCGCAGTAAGATGTCTGCCGCTGATGTCATCTCCATGTCTGGTTGTAAGGACGACCAAACCTCTGCCGATGCCAAGGAGGCTGGCCAGAACACCGGTGCTATGAGTTGGGCTTTCATTTCCACCTTGAAGGCCAGCAACCAGCACTCGTACCTCTCGCTTTTGAACCAGATGAGAGACTTGCTTTCAAGAAAGTACTCTCAGAAGCCACAGTTGAGTTGTTCCCATCCTACCGACATGAACTTGAAGTTCATCATGTAGAGTCATATACGTTTTTGATGATCCAGTGTAGAGGGGCAGAGTTAAGGGGAGGAGAATGATTTCTAGGAGAGCCTTGAAACACGCTTTGTAGGGTCAGCTTATTCAAGACAAACACGCTTTTGACCAACTTTTAACCTCAAATTAGTAAATATAGCTGAACATCCTGAAGAAATACTATCGAAATATCCTTCACATCATGCATTTCTTTCCCTTCGCTCTAGGGCTCAGACTTCCGGTGCTGATTTATAAATAGATACGTCTATGTGCGTATGAGCCCAGATACATCTAATTACCAATTTCACTAACAAAGCACATCCCAAAGCCTCCATCACCTTCATCTCCAATTTCCTCATTTCCGTTTTCACTTCCTTCAAAAAAGCGCAGATAAGCTTTGTCCTGATGTTCCTGGCATTGTGATATTCCTCGATACTAGCTACGCGAATCAACCAAATCAACTAACTACTACATCAATATGGCCGACAACTTCGAACGACACAGGTCTACGCGTTGGGTCAAGGCCGACGTTCCTTCATACGGCGACAATTGGGGAGATGATTATGATAATTACGATAACTACGAACAAGATATAGCTGAAGAGCCCAAGGAGGAGGCGACTACTACGCCCAACTTGGTGCTTTCGATAGATAACGACCGCCGTTATGGTTATGATGATGACGACTCCGAACAAGCCTATAGTCAGCCGCCGCTGGCCATTTCTGAACCCAAAGGCGGCACTTTTGGTCGTGATTTGCTGGATAGCAGCGATGAGGAAGTGTCATACATTCCTGAGAGCCCAGACAGGGCTGCCCCTGAACTACCAGAGAAGGACTCTCCTGAGGCCACAGCTAAACATAGACCTGCGCCTTTGGACACTTCAGGCCTGGCACAAGAGGACTTTGTACCTCCCACACCAACGTTTTCTCAAACGACTTTCTCCCAGCAGCCAGAAACACCAGTGTCCGACAGAAGCTTCATTTCAGACGCCGATTCCATCCAGAGGGAGCCAGAATCGCTTAATGTGGCTGGCCGCCACGACGAGAGCTTGAACGAAATCAAAGAAGACCCTCAGCTAGAGAATGCCGCAGAGAAGCCACTGGAATTGGTGCTCTCTGTTGACAAGTTGAACCTACACGACAATTCCTCCGATGACTCTGACTCCCTTCATTTTGACAATGAAAGAAGCACTGAAAAGGCTACCACCAGCACGTTAGCTTTGCCTCAAGATGAAGAGACCCCAGCATCGCCTCGTGAAGAACATGTGGATTCGCCATTACACGTCACCCTGCCTGAGCTTCCAAGCGAGAGACGCCCCATCAAGACTGACGCCTTGGATTCTCTCATCAACGACCTTCTGAAGATGGAGAGACTGTCTACGTATAAGGAATCTGCTAAGAAAGATCTTCCGCCACCACCTCCCGGAAAGGACGAGGATGAGGGCGAGGCCAACTTGCCCTCTTTGAGCTCTATTCGTGACATGTCGCTCCCTAATTTCGAGGATCAATCGTTCAGTGGTCTGAGCCCAGAAACCTCTCACGTTCTCGAGGAATTGACACAAGAGCTGCAAGAGGAGGTACAGAAAGCTCATGAGCTGTACGTATCGAATCTTCTGGCTCACACTCGCTCCGTGAAGAAGGCTCCTCCACGCTCTCCTAATCCTGAGGTGAAGACAGCTGAGCCCGAGGAGGCTCGTGAAGATCCTTCCACACCAAAGCAACAGGCGCAAAGCGAGCTGGGCGACGACTACGATCCAAACAACCCGCTCTATATTGGCGCAATTCCTGCGCTTTCACCTGAATCCATTTCGACAAAGCACCTTTCCGCTGATTTCTCCAAATTGCCTCTTCAACCGCCACAGCCTCCAAGGGGTCCTCTCGCTGATGTTCTGCGCAGAGATTCTACAATGACGACGTCAACTTTCAATATGGGCAACTGGAAACCGAACACAAGCATGTATCGTGATCAATTTGTCAATGATAATGATAATGAATCCCAGATGAATGTGAGCGTATACAACGGAAAGGATAATCATGACAGATTCGTGAGCAACCACTCCTCACTGGGATATGCCGAGTCTTTCACAAATTCAAGCACGTTGTCTGTTCCCGAAACAGTGGCTTTGCCAAGCATCCACGAAGATACTTCCGACGCTGAGATTATGCGAGATGACGATGATACCTCCGATGATCACAGCTTCAGTCATCTCGACAACAGCAAATCGGATGGAGATCTCTCCTTGCCTGGAAAAGACCAGCGCAGTTCGCAAGGCTCAATCTTCAAAGAGGAGAAGCTTACCTTGCCTGGATCACTTGAGCAATTACCTAAGGACAACAACACGAACGAAAAATACAAGTCAATGAGCTCCATTGAGTCAAAGAGTGATGAAAATGAGGAGGACCAACCACCGCAGCGTTCTGCTACAAAACGTTTAGCAAGCACATCTTCATTTGGTATCAGTAAACCGCCAATGCAAAAATATCCAGTCAGCAAGTGGAAGGATCTTACTAGTCCCTCGCAGCCTGTGGACAGAATTGAAGCTTTCAAGAATGCCAAACAACGTGAAATTGAATACGACTCGGGATTGCAATATTGGCTTCAAGAGACATTGAGGTCCACTGAGGTGTCTCCCAACATGCACATTGGTAAGCTTGCCGAACAAGCCTATCAGAATGCCACTCACACTGATATCAGAAGGCACACATCGATGGCTCTCAATACTACAAGTCTTCGAAACAAGGTGTCTTTGGTCAAAGACAAGATGGATACTACGGCAGGTTTTGGTCGTCGTTTCTTGAACAAGGGAAAGAAGCTTATGAAATCTTAAGGTCGAAGTGATAGATACGGAATTAAAGCAATATATGGTAATGAGAATATCTTAGTAGGTTAAAAATGAAAGTTACATCAAAAAGGAACGTTATACTGATAAAAAACAAAAAATAAGCTCCGAGACGGGGAATTGAACCCCGGTCTACCACGCGACAAGCGGTAATTCTAGCCACTAAACTATCTCGGACGATCTGGAAAATCTAGAATGCAGGTAATATATGTTGCACATAAAAGAGGCCCCAATTGAAGCGCAAATTACACCCTAAAGGTCTCATTAGATGCACTGCTACAATCCCTATTTGCTACAGTAGTTTTTATGCCCAAATTCAGCCATTTAACCCCTTTTTCGGCAAAAATAGGCGATAAAATTCGATATCCATTTGATGCATTCTATATTTGGTGAAAATAACCCCCTTTTTCTTTTTTAACCAAGCCTTTACTTCATTATATCTCCCTTCGGAGACATCGATTCGGCTCTGAAATTCACAACCTCGGAATCCGTGTGGAAGCCTTCGTCTTCAATTCCCAGAAGTTTTTGGGGCGGCCATATCCAGCAGACCGCCACGTACAAAACAAACGGAATAACAAAAGCGAACAAAATGTTCCCGTAATAAAAGTTTTCGAGCCCTTGTGGTACTTTATCAACAGATTCCGACTCCACGCTTATAAGACCAGGAATACTCGGAACCACGGAGACAAGCCAGACCACAATTGCCCTGATATTGAAACCCCTAGTGTAATAAAAGGTTCCATTCTTGTGTGCACAGTAAAGATCATCCACAGGGAGAATGGAGCGTCTGATGATCGTGAAGTCGGCTATTTGAAGCGCAATGAGTGGAGTAGCAACCACTCCAAAGGAGCTCATCACATCTAAAAAGGTAGATGAGTCCCAGAAAAACTTCCATGGCTGTACAGCCCATGATAAAAGCGCAGTTATGTATGCGCCTCGACGGATATTGATGTACTTTGGAACTAGACCAGCCATTTCCATACCACCTGCGATACCGTTGGCGACGATGTTGAACGAAAGCTGTGAGAGGGTGAACGCAATCCCAAATATCACAGCCATAGCTCTGTTGGAAGCGTTGTAGTCGATATGCATCCACCTGAGGCAAATGGTAGTGGGCAACCAGAACATCTTATCGTACAGCTGCAACGTCAGTGAAGCACATAGAAGTCCTGCTAAAGGAACAAATGTTCCGGTGATCATGATGGCAGACGCTATGCCGCAACACATTTTTGTTGGAGAGTTGGCGAAACGAGAAAAATCGTTGTGGTTAAGCACCTCTGGAGAAATAGCGCCGTACCAAATCGACATGGCGTATAGCCAGGCCCAGCCCCGCTCGTCTCCAGATAAATTCACATCCTGATTTATTATTCCCGCCGATCCACCGTTGTGGGTTATGCAGAGAGCCAACATAGCGATGAAACAGATCATGGTAAAGCCGCATGACGAGATCAACAACTTGTTGAACAGCTCTGGCTTCATGACTAGCATGCAAGCTTGGATGAACAGAAAAATCACGAATCCAATAAAGTCTCGAAGTTTCATCTGCACGCTTTCTGGAAACGTCATGGGCATGTCTAGATAGCTTTTGCTGAGTCCGGATATGATGAGGGATACCAGGCAACCTCCTAGCCAGGATTGAGCTCCGTAAAACACAATGGCGAGGACTATTCGAATGATAATGCCGATAAACGACCCCTTGATACCAAAAAGCATCCTTTGAGATAGAGGGTACCCGATGTGGTACTTTGTTCCCGGTAGGGAGTTGAGGCATGTGTAAATGATGATAATCACATTGGACACAGTGATAGCACCCATAATGTATGGGAGTGTGAGTCCAACAGCTACCAAGGCACCACCAGTGCTCCAGGTCCATATTGTAGCATTTGGAACACCCCAATAACCGAAAAACGAAAAGAACCCCCAGGTCTGCTTCTCGGAAGGGACTGGTTTGAGATCTGGGTTCACCAAGAAGGAGATCTCGTCATTTTCGTCCGACGGCACCTCGATCCATTTCTGAAGCAGTGTCCACTTAGCCATGGGTAGGCCTGGGAAAAAGAAAGTGGTTCAGAGCTTTAAAATACATTCCCGTAATGAGGCAGTGTGGATGCATGGGGCAGGTTGATAGGCAAGTTGGTGCGGCTGATGAAGGCGCTAAAGCGAGAGAGATTTGGGGGAGCCAGGCAGGAAAATACCGTTTTCACATGTTTGTGTGCAGTCCGTGCGCCAGTAATTACGGCCTCGATGCTAGGCTGTGATAGGATAAGGAAACCCGACTGAGCGTTTACGGAATGCAAGGCTCATTGAGCGAGCAACAACGGGCAGGTGGATCTACAGATAAGGCGGGTATCCAATAAGTTTGCTTAATTAACAGGAGCAGCACTTAGAGTGCAGAACCTGGGTGGGACATTAGTCGAAAAGAGTGAATGATCCGGTACCAATATATGGCGAAGGTTTAACGAAAGACAGGGTTAGGGGCCGTCCGTTTAGAAGAATGGCAAGGCCATCAAGAGAGCAACGAAACCGAGACCGGCGGTGTTGACGGCAGCGGCACCCTCGAAAGAGCTGACAGTAGGAGCAGCAGAGGTGGCAGCAGGAGTGCTCACCACTGGAGCAACAGAGGTTGGCTTAGCAGAGTCCTCAGCAGGCTGGGTCTCGGCTGGCTTGTCCTCGGCTGGCTTGGTCTCGGCTGGCTTGGTCTCCACTGGCACATCGATAGTCTTGGTGATGGTGACATCGATGGTCTTGGTGCCAGAGACAGACTTGACGGTCTCAACCTCGATAGGCTTGCTGTAGGTGGTGACGACGATGGTCTCGACGGCCTCGACGGTCTTGGTGACCTGGGAGGTGGAGAGCTCGAAGGTCTTGCACTTGTCCTCGACACACTCGGTGACAGTGACACACTCCTCGTCCTCGTAGACGGTGACGGTCTTTGGAGCCTTGGTGGAGACGGACTCGGTGCACTTCTGGTCCTCGCAAGAGGTGATGGTCACAAGGTCGTAGTCGGTTCTAGTCTTGGTGACAGGGCCGGCAACGGAGCCAGTGGACTCAGACTCTGGGCACACGGTGGTGACAACACACTTGTCCTCGTCACAAGAGGTGATGGTGACAATCTCGGTGGTCTTGCTGGTGGCGGTGGCGGTGGACTCGATCTCGGTGCACTTGTCGTCGTCGCAAGAAGTGATGGTGACGATCTCGGAGTGGGTCTGGGAGACAACCTCGGTGGAGTTGGCAGCGGCAGAAGCAGTGACGGCAGAGGAGGCGGAAGAGGCAGCAGCAGAGGCGGACTCGGCAGCGGACTCAGCAGCAGACTCAACAGCAGACTCAACAGCAGACTCAGAAGCAGCAGCAGACTCAACGGCAGACTCGGAAGCAACAGCAGAAGCCTCAGCGGACTCCTCAGCAGAAGAGGTCTCAGCAGCAGGAGGAGCAGGGTTCTCTGGGAGAGAGAGAGCTGGACCAACGGTTGGCACGGCAATGATGGTCTGAGACTCGCTGGAAGAAGAAGAAGCAACTGGGGCAACAGTTGGAACGGCAATGATGTTCTCGCTCGAGGAGGACGAGGAAGAAGCGAAAGATGGCATTGGACCAACAGTTGGGATTGGAATGATCACTGGAGCAGAAGAGGTGGTCTCAACAGCACCGGTGGCAGCAGCAGCAGCCTCCAAAGCCTCCTGCAAAGAAGCGTTGATGTTCCATTCTGGGGAGGTGTGGACACCACCAGCCTTACAGACGCTGAAGGCCAAAGAGGTGGCGACATTGACGTCCTCACCCACACAGCTGTCGGCGATACACTCGGCAACCTTGAAGGAGAACATCTGGATCACACAGAGACAGCCAGTGTCCCAGTAAGGGCATGGGAGGGAAGAGGTGGACTGCATGACACAAGGCTGGGCACAAGATGGCAATTTGTCGTAGATTGGGTCGGCGAAACCGTTGATGGAAGCAGAACGGACGTATGGGGTGGTGGTGATCTCCTCGGCCTCGTCAGAGCTCACTGCTGGAGAACTGGTGATAGCTGGGGAAGAGGACTCGGCAGCCTGCTCGGAAGAAGAGGTGGCCTGGATCTGGGAAGAAGTGGCGGAGGTTGGAGTGTCCTCGGCGTCGGTCTGAGCAGCAGCAGAGCTCAAGAGGGTGGCTTGGCTGCCGCCGATGATGAAGTATGGGTCCCAGACACCGGCAGACTGACACTGGGCAGCAGCGACGGAGGTGGCGACGTTGACATCGTTACCCTTACACTGCTCAGCAATACACTCGGCAACGCTGTTGGTCCATGGGGTCATGACACAGAGACAGCCGGTGTCCCAGTAGGGACAAGGGGTGCTGGAGGTGGACTTGGAGAAACACGACTTGGCACACTCTGGCAACTTCTCGTAGATGGGGTCAGCAAGACCGTTGATGGAGGCGGTCTTTGGCACCGAAGGGTAGGTGGCGTATGGGTTGTCGGCTGCGAGAGCGACGGCAAGAAGACCTGCGACGGTGGCGATCTTGAGCATTGTGAACGAGTGTAAAAATCCGGAGATGGGGACTCAATTACAGGGGGGCACCGCTTGGTTTTATAGGTGACTGCAAGCTTTTTTTGTCGTGCTGCAAACGGCTCTGGTTTTTGCAGCCAGACAATAACTCGTATGTTTACGCTTCTGCATGTTCGATGCAGAGGCGCGTCAAAGAAGAGTTTTCACCACCCCGACTCGGCTCACTTTTCTGGTGACTACGCGAATACTTGGCAACCGCAGGTATGGTGTTTTCGTCTACCACTGTCTTTGTGTTTCTGAAGGCTATGGGTGGTTAGGAATCAACAAATCAGCAACCTTAAAGCTAGATCTCGCCAACGGTAATATCGGGGCTTCCTGCTGCATCAACTGACTTCGGGCATGCAAGAAGAGCCCAGCATAGTGGTGATTGGCTTAAAACCCTGCGCGCTGCAACGCATGCGCGGGGGCTCTTACTTAAAATTCTATCTAATCCATCAGATCGCCGGGCCAGTCCGAGATGCGGCGATTTACCGAGGACGTTGGGCGCCGTTTTTTTCTGAAATTGATCCCGGCTTTTCATGCTTTTTTTATTGGAGTCAATTCCGGGGTCTGTGGACCTGAAGCTGCGATTAGTATGGAACCACTATCACGCTCGTGCTTCCCCACCATCTATAGTCAACGCGGTCCATGGACTGTTTTTGCCAAGAGGTGACAGACGCATGTTTAAGAAGCGACTCGCTAAATCGCGAGGCTTTGGTCCTCAGCAGCGGAACTCGCCGTTTCCCAATTTGCTCATCACCGATAATACCGATTACCTTTTCCACCGCAGGATGTTTTTAAAAAGGGTCCTTTTCTAAAAAGCAGGCCCTCCAGCTCCGTCGCCGTTGTCCAAGACCAGTGCCACTCCTGTTTGTTTACCAATAGCGTGATTTTCCTCGCTAATGAAGCACCTTGCCTGCCCCGATATGTCCCGCATAATGCGAGAAGAAAAATTTACGACGCCGACCTCGGGCACATAAGAGACCTCGTCAATGGGCCGCACAACGGACAAGGCAAACCCGGCTAGAAAAATAAGCGTTAGGGGTTCTGCCCTGCCCGAAATGCCCGAGTGCATTCGGAAATGTCTGCTGTCAAAGCCGATTTGCGGTGTCCTCTGGAGGATCTCGCTTAGGCGGCGTCCGCTCTAACCTATTTTTGTGTAATACCGAGGGTGTTTCACCGACGGGGGGGGGGGGCAGGTGGATGCGTGGTGCGCCGCTTTCAGATCGGCTTTGACTACTTTGGGTCTGGGTATTGTGGTGACCACGGGTGTAACAAAGACCTTGTTATTACTCACAGAAACTCACAACCACCGTGTTTGCATTCAGCCTATAGCCGATGTGGGGTTGGCACGGGCTTCTAAGCGTGGGGCGTAGGAGCCGGGGCTCTTGTTTCTCCTTCTGTGATGTTCTTTTTGAGGGCTTCTCTGTAATTTACCCCGAAGAGTCGAGGTGCTATTATCGTGTCATTTCATACGGTGTACCCCACATGAGGTCAATCGCGTCGCCGTCCTTTCAACGGCGTGGCTTGGGGAAGGCGTGGCTGAAGGGGTCATAGGGGAGGATTATATTCCATAGGCGTAGATGCTCTACGGTGATCTTTCAGTAACTTATTCAAAGTGAAATCGGCGTTGGAATTTAACGTTGAATTTCACGTTGAAAGTCTACGTTGGAATTTCACGTTGGATTGATTCTCTTGGCGACAAGTTTAGGCTATCGTAGGTGGGTATTCCCTCTAGCTTATGGCGACATTAATGTGTGGCGATATTCACTTTCACTTGGAAATGGCCAATTCGACTATGAGACGTTGAAGCATTCCAGAGGCTACCTTCGTTTACAAATTACTTGGTTTGTCATATCGTCTAATTCAATGGTCGTTAGCGCATTCGTCGAGCTATCAGTGCATACACCGTGAGATGATACCTCCACAATGAATTACCCCTAGGTACGATAGTATTATCTCTAGATAAGGAAGTTTGCTATAAGGCTTATTATTAAATGCTCCCAAAAGCCATTTTCGAAATTCTGTAGTGACGTCGGTTGCCAAGTGTGCGACGAGGACTCTCCATACTAGCACAACTTGAAAATTACCAGCACCATCATCAATTCGTCGGCAAAGCACCTCAGCTGAATTGTTTCCACAAACCTAACAACACTTTCAATTTCTGGACCAATTGGGTTACATTTGGATTTTTGTCTTAGGGATGTCTGGGTTTTTTCTTAGGGATGTCTGGGTTTTTTCTTAGGGATGTCTGGGTTTTATAGGGATGTCTGGGATGTCTGGGTTTTGTCTTAGGGATGTCTGGGTTTTTTCTTAGGGATGTCTGGGTTTATTTAGGGATGTCTGGGTTTTTTCTTAGGGAT